GTTCAGGGTGTCCCCCACCTACTGCCCGAAGACGGCTGGGATAGGCTCCAGCACCTCCTGAGACCCTTGTGAGGATAAGTGGATTGGAAAATGTCTGGATGGATAGATACAGTATATAAAAACATGTCCGCATTGATGCATGTATTTTTCTATATTCATTTGCGAAAAATCTGAGGTGTGCACTTTTTTTTCCTTTATGCATTGCCGAGGGACTGGTTCGGTACTCGGTATTGGCAGATACTTAAAACTGAAGACTCTGACTCGGACACCAAAATTGCGTGATCGGGACATTCCTAATCAGTGCATATAGTCGGTAGGTCACTGAGCTTGCGTTCTGGTGCCACGTGACAGCATATGCAGCTGTCCAAACGAAATCACTACATCTTGATTTGTTACCTCATACATCTTATCAGGGCCATCATAAACCTCCAGTAACAGGTAATGTCAGTGGAAAAGTATCAACTCCAACGGCATCTGCGGTGAGCCGAGTAGTTTCCAATAAGTTGCTTTTGGGTGACCCAAATGGCAGCCCTTGACACATAGCTAGTTGCTCATTGGCTGACACAGGAAACAGAACGGCATGAACCCAAGGGGAAACAGAGCATGACTTGTAATAAACAGCCAAGAAAGAACTCAAACTATGACTCATTTCACTGGATAGCAATGATTTTCTTGCCTACAGTATTTCCAGTAGTTCAGGCATGGCTTTATTGCAAACAGTCGAAAGATCGGATGCAGGTGTGCAAGTGTGAGTGTGGCAAAGAAACAGACAGCAAGAGATTAGATTTGGGGTTAGCGCCTGTTGAGAGTGCTGACAAAGCGTCATGGGCACAGATGAACATCCTCAAAATCTAATCGCACACCAGGCATTGGCCAAACACATCACTGCTCGCGCACATGGAATTTTCACACTCTTGTAAAACGGTATTTATGTGCTTAATGATCACAGTTGGTGCGATTTGGTTTGCGTCCATCTGCTCCATGAGATGACACTGTCAGCATGGGAAAATCAAGCGGAACATGGCTCAAGGCCAAGCACTTCTGATATAACAAAGCTGCCATTTGTGTTCGTCCCCCCGAAACGAACCAACTCACTGGGTTGTTTTCTCTCACAGAAGGCCTCTGCCACTGACTGAATATGGTCAGTTAGCCACTGACTGCACACATTTGTGCTTAACTAACAGAGCGAGTAAAATGAGGTAGACAGATATTGCAAATCGTTTTAAAAATTCATCATTTAACCACCATTTCCATCAGAGTCATCAAAAGGCCAATTATTGTATGCCTCTAAAAGACGATACTTAGCAACCCGATCCAGGATAAGCGGTTCAGAGCATGTATGGATGCATTATCCTGATGTATGAGGTGTGTCAAGAATGATTTTGTTTTTTTCCCCCCAGGGAAAACTGTCAAGGACAACAATTGTAAATGTAAAACCTTTTCAACATTGATGATTATTAATTAATACAGAGTCCGTCCGTCCGAGGCAGGCAATCTTCAATCCATGATTGTGAGATGGAATGGAACAATAACCACGAATAACCATTTGCACACTTTACACAAGTGATTCATTAAAGTATTGTATGGGCACCACAGCACAGTTCAGTTGTATTTCACTTTTAAGTTCAATACATTTGCATTTCAGCAAATTTCTTTTCAATATTTCTTTTTTTTTTTTTTTTTTTTACTACTTTACAATGAAAACATGCAAACCCTTTACAGGCAGGTCGGAGCTGAGATTCGAACCACGGCCTTCAGGACTGTGAGGCAGACATGCTAACCACAAATTCCACTGTGCATTTTGAGGCATTTTTTTCCAGAACATTTTGATGTACTGTAAGACTTTTTGGGCGGTTCCACTGAACATGTCTTTCCCTTCCTATTGCCATAAATCTATTTTCCCAAATGCATGCGACAATAGATGATGTCATTCAGGCAACAGTTCAAGATGACAACGCTGTGCGCAGCAGCCTAATTGCTTTTGCACAGTGTGGACGGCCCGATGCAGCTGATATAGCATCTAAAACCCCGCTCCCTGCCTGCCAGTAAAAGTTACGCCAACAATGGAAAAGATACTGCAGTGCTTCCATAACGAAGTCTGCTTAATCCGTGTGTGTGTGTGTGTGTGTGTGTGTGTGTGTGTGTGTGTGTGTGTGTGTGTGTGTGTGTGTGTGTGAGTGCGTGTGCAGCAGCGAGTCACGGACCAGTGATGAAAAGGACATGGGAGAGAGAACCAGCTGTGTCGAGAAATATCCTGGCAGCACAAGCAAACTCGACACGAGTAACTTGGGGCTGAGCTTAAATGGACGTTGCAGTTGTGTACGTTGTGTAAAAACGTTTTCTATGACTCTGTTCTAGCACCCCAATGAATGCATGCTGGCGCGGCTGTGTGTGGAAAATACAAACCGCGAAACAACGGAAACCAATTTGGCAGGAAGGCATGTGGTGCAGAAAGTAAAAGCAACAGTAAGGTTCTGTTCATGTGTTCGGAGTTTTGACTCAAATGAAATATTTAAAAAGGATTTTTTTTTTTCCCTCATCAAATGGTGGCAATAGGGTTAGGGTCCAAATTAGGGTTTCAAATCACATTTGGGGTTTCAAAGAAATGTGTCAATCAATGGCTGAGGTTTGATAGTTGGGTTTTAAAGTAAGGTGTCAAGCTTTTGTGTGTGTTTCAAATCATGTTTGGGGTTTCAAAGTTGTGTTTTCAGGCTTCAAGCCAGGGCAAAGTAAAGTTTCGCGTTAGGGTTGGGGTTTCAAAGTCTGCTTTCAGCTAGGGTCAGGTTTTCAAGGTGGGGTTACAAGCCAGGGCTGGGCTTCAAAGTAGCGTCTCGAGTTAGGGTTACATAGTAGGGTGTCCCAGTCAGGGTTAGGTGTTATAAGGAAGGTTTCAAATCAAGGGTAGGGGTTTCATGCCAGGGCTGGGCTCTCAAACAAAGGTTTTAAACCAGGGTTGCTGTATCAAAGTCGGATTTCAAGACGGCAATACAGTACTATTTAAAAGTTGCGTTTTAAGCCAAAATAAGAGTAATATGAGTTCAAGATTAGGATGGGGTCTTAAGTCAGGGTTTCAAGGGATCCAAGTCAAACTTAGGCTTTCAAAATATTATTCAAACAACTAAATATCAAGCAAGATAAATTGTCATTGTTATAAACAAACCTGTTTTTTTCACACACACACACACACACACACACACACACACACACACACACACACACACACACACACACACACAAGGTTGTAAATATAACTGGGAGGAAATGAATGGCACGGCACTTGAGGATTTATGGTTTCATCTGGTGTTTTATATTTATCTGACCCTCTAGGTGTTCACTGTTCCTCTCACATACGCACGTACGTACGCACACACACACACACACACACACACACACACACACACACACACACACATTGATTATTCCATCATATCTTGATGTAAAGTCAGAGAGGACGAGAGGGCAACACAAAGGGCAACTGGGCACAGCATGGAATAGCCAGCAAGTTTGATTTTCTTTCAAAAAGTCCGATTGACAACATACACTTTACAATTCATGCTGAGAGGTCTGGGGAGAAGGGAGGAATAAAAAAGTTTGATATTTAAACTGATTCTCTCTGTACTTTGTCAAGAACAGCTAGTGTTTGTGCAACAACGTATTTACCATTCGGTATATTAAATAAAAGCTCATTGGCCTCGGGGGACATGCGTTGAGATATTTTATCTCATTTGTGTGCTCGTTTGTGACACGTTTGACTGATGTCGCCAGGGTTGATGTTTTAAGACGTAACATTTTAGCATTCTTATCAGTCATACAAGTGTAGGAAAAAAAACACTTGATTGGGCTGATCATTGCCACTTACATAATAGGTATGGATGTCAAAATTAATGTCAGTACTAAAATCCCCCTCCTCACAAAAATGTGTTCATGTGTTTTTTTTCTGACCACATTCACCACATCTTGATGATGCCCATTATTTGTGGGTCGGCACTGCTTGTTGCACATCTCAGCCAGATTGTGGCATTGAAGGAAAGAGACAAGCATTGTCGTGTTGTTTCCTGGGTTGCTTTGTTACATCCTGTTGTCCACAGACAATTTGGTGGCGATTGATCGCCGTTTTAGGTCGTTATGTAAAATGTATCGACTGTGATTTTGAATGAACAAATTGTGTCGGTTACTCCGCTGACTCCCACCAAGACATGGAAAGAGGGTGGAGGCGTGGCTACATTGCTGACGAGAAGGTTCTGAGAGTTATTAGCCTTTTTCTGATTTCTTCAAACAAATTGGTGAAAATTGACAACCCAAGCTAATATCGTTATCCTGATTAAAAAATACATTGAGGGTTTTTGAGTTAAAAAAATGGACCATCCCGGCCAGATGATCCATTTTGTTGGTGTGTTCTGGGGTGGCTGTAACAGATGAATGGCAATACGATTCAATTTTCCTGTCCCACACATAAATAAATACAATCGTGTGATTCAAGCGAAAATAAGTGTAGGCTATTAGAAAATAAGGTAGTGCGCACTCATGCACACTTTTCCACTGTGAGCGTGCTGGTCTCTTTGGTCTCCTTGCCGCTCAACTGAAGGGGGAGCCTGCCCGAAAAGAATCCCGACTTGACGGATCATAGAGCAGCACCGTTTGAGCTGTCATGCTATCAACACTTTTCTGCTTGACTGTGGACAAGAAAGGCATACATACGCACTGAGCTCCCCTGTCTGCAGCCCTGCTGCTCTTACTGAAATCAACACAACTCCCCAGCAGGGTTGCTAACGAGCACACAAACGTGGGTGAATTTGCCCCATCTACCCATTGTGAAAACACGGTCGCTTAGACCGGTGACGACTCAAAAAAAAAAAGCTTCACTGTCAAAGTACAAGCAGCATCTGGGAAAATGTATTCAATCATATTAAAGAGTATGAACAAGGTTAAAAGAAGAATGTTGGCATTGTTGAGTCCAATTGAAGTGTTTGTGTAAATCTTAACGTGCGTAAGCGTCTTACCTTCAAGGATGACTTCCTTGCCAGTCTTCTTGAGCGCCTGCACGGCTTCGTCGTGCGTGGCCTCCCGTAAGTCGCAACCGTTGACAGACAATATGGCGTCGCCCACATACAGCGCCTCCGTTTGGTCGGCGGCCAAGCCCTTAAAAATCTTGGAGATGAGAATGGGCATCTTGTTCTCCTTCCCACCTGCACGAGATGATGCACATCGTCATTGGGTTTGCCAACGCCTGATGTCAATAGCTGTGGGAATGGTGACCTGTCTGGCACGCTTCAGAGAACAAAATTGAAAAGAGAAACTACCGTACATTTTCTGTTCGTGTTCAAAGTGGAACCCATCGCAGTGAATTACCCTCTGTTTGTTCATTTGGGATTCAACCAAAAACATTGGGCGGAAAACGCCCCAAAAATCTACTGAGTAATTATTAAAATTTGCAACACTTGGTCTAAAGATCCTGATTCTAAACTGTTAGACCACAAGAATATCAATGATAAGCTCCGCACCCCCACAGAGAAGCAAAGTTTGCTGGGCGACTCATTTATGTGTAGAAGAAAAAGCAAGTCTCACATTTAACCGGTGTTTACCTTACAGATGACGAAAAACATCTGAGTTTACCTAAAAATGTTTCGATGTTGATTTCAGGCCAGGACACATTCAAAGGCACAGCTATTCGTGTAGAATGTGAGGAGAATGTGAAGATGGTGACAACAAAAAACAATAATACCTGCATCTCACGTGCATACTTTGTATTGGTATTATGCATACAACTTTAAAATAGTTCAATTAACCCGAAGAAGCATGTTTTTGGGTTGCGAGTGGGAAGCTGGAGTGCCCGAAGAAAAACCATTACATGAACATTCTGTGAAATTTTGCATGATTTAAAGGGGGAGCCACAAGGAGAGGACTCTTCATATTCTTTCCTATGTGTCTCCCTTGCACACTAATTAAATAAAGGTGAGCAGGTTCAAAAATGGAGAAGTTTGGTGACTAATGTCAGCTGGCGGTTGAACTCTGGTCATTATCTACTGTAAAACACAAAAAGACATGCAATTAATTTTAAATATGTCTTGCGCAAGTTTGCTCCATGCGGGACTTGAGAGTCAATGGCCTCGCTCCTCCTATGCGTGTCGAGCGCATTCCCAATCGAGTTTTAGACCGAATGGTTGCCCGGTCTTTTGACCTCGGTGACATCAAACAAGTCGTTGGCTGCATGACTAAGTATTAGAAACGAGGCAATGCCATGAGAAGTCAGTCGATACTTGGTGAGGAGATGTGAGAGCAACATCTACCAAAAAATAAAATAAAAACAATACAAATACATCTGTGGTCACAATTAAAATGTGGACTGCTTTCCGAGTAATTGGTAGAGTTAAGAAATGAAAAAAACTACCACCTGACTGTAGTCGGCCTTTGTCTTCTATGTTTAAATCTGTGAAGGCACGCTACAGTGCGAGTGTGCAATTATTATTTCTTCCCATAACCGTCAGCCTAACACTTAATCCTCACGTATTCCTTCATCATCCCACCATGTCGTCTTATGTCACGTACACGTCCGCACCTCCAAGCTGGCAAAGTGTCGCTCGGACGACATATGGGATAGCGGGGGTGTAGTGACGCAAATGGTGACACAGGTAAATTAGCGGTAGCGGTTCAAACAGCGCTGACAACTTGCAATATTTGGCAAGATACCCACCGAACAGTACATTGGAACCTCAAACATCAAACAAAATCGGTTTTGGGCCATTTATTTGCACTTGAATTTGTTTGGATTTTGGATCAGGGAAACAAAACTAAAAATGCTTCTAAAATGCTCATTTGTAAATGCAAACACTTGCAAGATGTATAAAAATAAAATGTTGCATATTGATAATTATTTTTTGTAATAATTGCGAAATCATTGACAAGTGTCTTCAGATAAATGAATATCATCAATTATTAATAATAACGTATGATGAAAGGTAGTTTGAGCACAGGTGTTATTTCAGTAGTGTTTATCAAATTGATAGATGGGGCTGTCACAATTGAATATTTTTACTGTTGATTAATCGAATCATTGCATTAACATTTACTTTGCATTAAAAGTAAAAAATATGGCTGCACATCGTGATTATTTTTGTCATAAAAATTGTAATTAAAATAAATACGGTTAAAGTGACGCTAATTTTAGTTCCCATAAATTGATTGGGATTCAGATAGTTCGGGAAAATGTTGATCATTGTTTTCCCAAGTAACAGTAGATTTTTTACAAAAGTAAAAGAAATTCGGTTTGCTATCATTTACAGAAATATGAGAATCTGTGAAGCTGAAAGCAGTGGATATCGACAATTTTAAGGTAACCAACGGCTCCAAACAATTAATGTATGATCAACGTAGTTGTGTAGATGACTTTGATGAAGAATTAATTGTCGATTCATGGATTAATTTTGACACCTCTGCTGGTAGCTCTTCGCACTAATCAGCCATTTCAAAAAGAGGAGCCTTTAATCAACACACTTTACAAAGTGTATGTTTGGTTCCATACTAATGAAAAGTCCCTTTCTTGGTTTCTTTCAAAGAAACAACTGCTTCCATCATTAAACCTTGTTTCGTAAAAAATACAAATGACTAACTGTTAAAAATAAACTTCACCCAGGCCCATAGTTACAAGACTTCACTCTAAATTGACGCTGTCCGGAGACCTGGAACTTTACTCTCTGCTTAAATTAGACAGGGCAGAGTGAAGGTTGACTGCCTCCACGTTTTCTAAAAGCCAGTGTGGGCTCCCTAAAATTAACACGGGCACTCCACTCCCTGATACATAGCTTTCATCTTTGACCAATGACAACTGTCGGCTGCTCCTCTCAGCTGTTCACTTGCTGCGGTGTCAGAAAGGCCAACGTCTTTCCACTTATCATTTTTCCACTTTTGCTTTCTGTTGTCTCCCACCTTTCTTCACCGTTGCCTTCTAAGCAAGCCGCATCGTAGCAACATCAAGCCAGCGGGGTGCCGGTAATCATTTAGTTTTGATAACAAGCTGTCTGGCTCTAAAAGCTACCCATATTCACAGAGTGCGACGTTACAGTTTTGCCATTAGAGGCTTCTTTGTTGTCAGGGCGATGGAAGGATGCAGAGCTAAAATGAATGCTAAAATGTTCGCGTCAGCTATAATGAGGAACAAAAATGGCCAACGACTTGCCATCAGGTGGTACTGCACACTAAAAAGAGACACAAGCACCTTTTACACTGTCTAGAAAAGGTGAAATTTGTGTGCCTTTTTTCCAAGTTCCACGGACAAAGTCAACCTGGCAAATTTCCGGCTTTCTAAGGTACTGTAGTATCCGAGCCTTTGGACACCTGAAATCACACAACTAAGTCTCAAGTTCAAGGCCCTTTGACACCGGTTGTTGACATCACGCATTTAATTATCTGATTGCGAGATGCAGAGTTCTGTGTTAAAGGCAACGGCAGAAACACCTCGTCAACTGTTGCAAATCCCCTGTACATGCGCAGTTCACTCTTCAAAAATTCACCAACAGCATTCGCAAATCAGCTCATCAAAGCGTTTTGTGCTCGTTGTGAAATACGATGGTAGCACAACATCCACAAAATCCCTACCAAAATAAGAACGTAGTGCTGTTGGTCCAAGGATTTCCATTGAAGTGATACATTTTTTAACGAAGAGACCAGCTTTGTACATTGGGGAAGAGCAAAGTTTGTTGCGAGATGCCATCACTGTATGAAATGACAAACAGTTGTGGGAATATTCCACCTTTGTTAGGTTGTGTCATCTGTCATGACTGTGATTTTGCAGGATCTCTGCATAAAAGAGGCAAAACCCCTCCCCTGCCTTTCCTTGCTTAAAATTTGGTTTCTAAAAGGATGGAACAAGTCTGGTAAATGTCCAGGAAATTTGCAATAACTTTACATTGGAAGTGAAGATTTTTAAATTTTGGATACATTACAAATGGGAAACTTTCCATGGCAATTGCATGTAAAATTCGGACATTCAAGCATAAATAAAAATATTAAACGAACTAAGACAGTAGCTCCCCTTGCCAACATGTGAGGGCATTACAGTACCTTAATTGCTTGTTCTTTTTTTTTCCATTTCACTTGAGCAGGAGCATATCTGATCCCTGCTCAAACCTAAAATTTTGGCCAAAGCCACAACTAGCACCTATTTGAAATCATGTTTTTTTGTCAAAAATAACCACACATACCGTACAAGGGCATTTATAACAATTGCCATGCAAAATTCCAATGGAATAGGTTCTGGTTTGAAAGACATGCTTGTGGGGATGGAAGACACAGTACGGAACAGTTTGGTCATCCAAAAAGCCAAACTACCACCAAATGTTGTTTGCATCTAGAAAAATCCAACCACAGCACAATCTCTATCCACTTTATTTACAAAACTTCAACTTCCCAACAAACTGACCTTGCCGCCAAGATCCCAGCTGAGGTCATGTAAACAGTATTTCAAAAGACTTTCAAACATCCACCACGCTGTTGTGAGTACACATCACAGTTACGTAAGCTTGATGTTAGATATGGGGAGGTTGCTGTCTTGTCCCAATGGGAGCAACCAGTCACATGTAACTTTAATAAGCACCGCATCGATTTTAAAGTAATATTATTTGTCGTCATCCATATAGAGTAGATATTTGGTATGGATAATCTGTATTGAAGGACAACTAGAGCTGTCTATACACATTAAGCAAAAGAGCAGAAGTTAATGTGTAAATGCTATTGAAATAAGTGTTTTAATCGGATCCTTCCTTACTAGAGTAAAATAGAAAAAAAGTGTCAGCAAGTAAAAATAACATTTAAGATAACATTTAGCTAATATACCCAGACCTTAGTTATGCTAAGCAAATTATAGCTGGATGATGGATGGCTCGATATCTGGTTTAAATAGATTATCAATGCTAACATGTTAGCCAACTCCATTGCAAATACGCTAGCCAAAACATTTGTAGGGGTTAATGTGTAAAAGTTTGCAAAATAATCTTGTTTTGATCAAAAGATGTTTCTATAGCTTTAAAGCAATACAAACATTAAATTTCCGTACGTTATATGAAAATGTCATCTTAATTAAACCATCCAAAGCGAAGCAGAGCTAAACTAAGCAAAGGTTGCAGGTTAACGTTTAAAAGTTGCTGAAATAAGTGCTATTTTGATAAAAAGCGTTTACTTTTGGCCCCGATAACTCCCCCCAAGAAACGTCAAGTACCAGCATGTAAAACTAACATGTCAGACAATATTTAGGATTAATTAAGCGACACACAGCAAATCTAGGGATGTATAGATAGATAGGATAGGTAGGTAGTTAGGCAGATGTTAGCCAACTAAAGCCTGTATCTCACTGAGCAGAATGTTTTTTGTTTTGGTTTTTTGTCAGGGTTCTTCAATGTTGCAAAAACGTTGACCGCTCAGTGAGATACAGCCTTATTGTGCAAATAGTTGTGAAATATTTTTTCAAACAAACACCTAAAAAAATAACCTAAACAACATTCATCCATGGATTCTTTGAAATGCTTTTTTGACAATATAATTAAAGTATCATTGATTTTATGATTGATTTTTAGAATGTACAAATTAACACATTTCAAAATTAAAACACACGATTTGACTGAGGAGGGTTGAAAAACAACTCCCCAAATGGCATAATAATAATAATAATAATCCATCCATCCTTCCATCAATTGTCTAATCCTTTTATCCGATTATTATTATTATTATTATTTTTTTTAATTATTATTATCTAAAAACGTTTTTTTTCCCGAGTTCCAGATTAGTTAAAGACACTAATCAGGCTCCATGTTGAGGTACAAAGTAAATAGCAGGGCGGCTGTCAACTTTTTGGCCACACAAATTCGTTCAACATTCCCAAAAAACGAGCTGCTTTCTTCGAAACATGAGCGACACTGCATTCGAAAGTTGCCAATCAAGTTTTCCACGCTCGCTGACAAAAAAGTTCAACTCCAGCTCAGCTCGCAACGTTTTGAACGGCGCCGCCACGCCGCTCCATGAAAAAAGTTGATCTCACCTTTAATACTAATTCCGAGTCCTCCGACATCTTGCTTGGTGACTCGCACTGTGCGCTTCACGTTGGTGATGGTCTCCGGGACGGGACACGAGCTGAGGTTGGGAGGGTCTCCGTTGATCGCCCCCGCGGGATTCGGATTGTGCTTGGTCGTCTCGTCGGCGCCCTCGCCAGGGTTGACCATCAGCTTGTCTTCGGTGAGAGTGGCCAGCACTCGGATCCAGCGGTCCACGGTCACCCGGAGCTCCAGCAGTCCCGTTTTCTGCGCCTTCATCGCGGCCGCCATGTTCATCGCATTCCTGGAATAACTCTAGACTGGGCTGGCGGTCCTGTGGAGAGATATTGGAGGGCTGGGGTAGGGGCACGCACACACACACACACACACACACACACACACACACACGCACACGCACACACACACACGCACGCACGCCAACACAGGCACTCGCACGCGTGTATGTTCACACAACTCCCTCATGCACAGTTAGTTGCACGCCCTCGCAGTATGTTGCCCTCCAAAGAGGCTTATCCACGAGTAATAAGAATTAAAGTTAATTGAGAGTGACACCATTGCACACAGACTGTAACACCGCCCAAATGTAGTGCTTCTCGTTCATATACTGTATAAATATAAAGTGCCGCAAAGAACTACTGCAGCCCAAATGCCATTGAAGATTCACGTTTTATTCAGCACCAAGTTACACACTCATAGCCTGCTGTTATGTTTCCATTGTATCTTTAGATCAGGCTTTTCCAACCTCTACTGGGACAAGACACATATACAGTATTCCACTCGAAAAAAAACTCACAAATATCACAAAAAGTGGAACCTCTGCTCTTAGCAGGGGATAGGGACCACGCACTGTCGAAAAAAGTAATTGGCGTTGCCTCAAAACAGGTTTACACTGTGCTGTAAAGGCGTATAGTTGCCTCAAAATGGTGATAAAGTTCTATGTACTGTCTAAAATGAAGCGCCTCACTTCACACACTCCACAACAGTTCCTTGGTGCCAAAATGCCAGTTGCATGGCACAAAAACGGTAAAAATTTGATTTTTTTTTCCCCGAGAATTGCAGAGGACACTTTTAAGAACAGATCTGTCAATAGGCAAATCACAAAAGCCGGAGTTCGCTGTACACAAGTTTCAGTTATTATGTACCTTCTACCTCTAGTGAAAGAGCATTTCATTGTTCTCCCTGTCACTATGTCACTGGCATAAATATTGGAACAAAAAGAGACGTATATTTTGTAGTAAATAAATAGCTTTCAGAGTTCAGACCAATTAAGTAGAATTGGATTGTATCCCATGGCACACTGGTTGGGAATCACTGTTTTAGGTCGAGACCAAGGGTGCCCATTGCGATCGACCGGTAGCCTGCAGACTGGTCCCAAGTCGATCGCGAGGGGTTGGCGGGGGAAATAGGGGGGAAAAAAAAGATTTGTGCGTCAGTAGGTTTCGGTTTCATTCCATTTTCTCATTGTGTCGTTTGTTCGTCCGTGCGTGCACGCATATTGTGTGCACATCTAGATCTTGCTCTCATTTGGTGGTTCAGCAAGAAAAAAAACGGACATAAATACATTGTCTTCATGAAAAGGCCAAAAGTCATTCAAGATGATGAAGTTGTCCTGTGTTATATCACTTGCATCCTTGAGTGTGGCAGCTGGTGTTGCATCTGTTCCACAGCAGGTGAAATAACAGCCAAAGTTGCACCACCCAATTGTTGTGGGTGGCCTGTGGAAGAACCCTTGCTCAAATTCAGAGCACCGATTAAAAAGTGCATAACACATTTACGTGGGTAACTGATCTGATTTGGATTAATCAGTTGTAGTCATTAAAAACTGCCAAATTGAATTCATTAGCCCGCGCAGGCGTTTTTTTATCAACTTGACAACTAATATTCTGCTGCCACCTGGTGGTTGAAACGCTGCACTACTTCACAATAAACATTAACTGGTCATTTTTCTGCTCCACAGTTGCGAGTGAGATTGCATGTTCTCAGCGTGCTTGCGTGAGTTTTCTCCAGGGGCTCCTGCCACGTTCCAAAAACATGCATGTTGGGTTCATTTGAAACCGGTATATTTTCTAGAGGTGTGCCGGGTTGTTTATGGATACTGTATGTATCAGGCGACTGGCGGGCGACCAGTCCGTTGTTTACCCCACTTCGGTTGCCAAAAGTCAGCTGGGATAGGCTACAGCTCATATAAAACCTTATTGAGGACAAATGCTATATCAATATTTAAAAAAAAATGGAGGCATGCATCAAGTACAGTAAACCTTGGTAAACACGAGCTAACCAACAACGTTGCTTGAATGTAAAGTATGAGCAGACCGGATCTAATCTTTCTGACCTCCTCTGTTTTACATTACATGGAATAATCTCTTCAAGATTAGATAAGATTAAAGGTGCATTTAATGTGCCTTAAAAGATATACCCCGCAATCTGTCGGGGGATTAAACGCCCCAGTGTTTACTCCAAAATCATGTTATTTCCACCATATGGTGCATGAAAGTGGCATATTGGAACTCAGGCAGGTCATTGTTCATTGATTGTAAACAAATACAGTGGAGTGTTGATAGTTTGGATTTAAAACAATTTTTCTCCATGGAAATCATGTGAGTACTGTAAAACAAATTCTACCTGTACAGCACATGTAAAAAAAAAAGTCCTTCAAAATTATGTGTAGCATTTTTTTTCACCTTAAAGGTGGCTTTTCTTTTTCATTTAAAACAGGTACCATGTATCTTAATAACATGCCTGTGACAGGCTCGTGTCAAAATATCACAATTACTTCTGATGCACAGTAATCCCACATTTAGCATTGGCCGATTCATTCCAGACAACCACTGCAATAGATGAAATAGCCTCAGAATATGTATTGTTTATTAATAATTTAAAGCTTCATGCATATAATACCAACATATATTCACGTGAGGTGCAGGTATTAATTTTGTTCTCTTAGGATCACCATCCTTACATTCTAGTGTAGTATCTGTGACAGTGAAGGTGTGTGTGGCTGTTGTTGTGCAGTTGTGTAACAAGGCAGTTGTACTTCACAATGGGCACATATCACAAATGTTAGACATTCTCTCTTTATTTACGTATTCCTTCCTCCTGGATTTGCACTCATTCATACATGTCTGCAATGCCAGTCTGTCTGGAAAGATAATCACCGCAATAGTTGTACAATTAAAACATCTGCAATGTACCTGCAAAGGTGGAGAGCGATTTAGCGAGGGCTAACTGCATTCTTTTCTCCTCACAATCTCTCACTTTTCACAACTCTTGTTGAGACCAAACGCAAACCACAGAGGCCGATCCACTGAGCTCGCTGAGCTGAGCTCTTGTGAGTAGTATTAATGTTGGGGGTGGTGTGTGTCTGCGTGATGATGTTGAGCATTATTACAAAGTGCGCCATCTGACCTCCAGTCTGTACATCTGTCAGTCTTGTTCGCCTTTGTGATGTTGAGCGGCAGGTGGCCAGCGGCCTATCCTTCTCACCAGACCCTCTTTTTTTTTTTTTTTTTTTGTTAGCAAAGCTGGCATGAATGGAAGGCACAAAGAATACAATGTCCGCACACGGAAAACACATTTCTACTTCAATAGAACGTTAGCGGTGTTATGGTGGTGGCGTGTGCCTGCCATTAACGTGTGGTCAGTGGGACATTATCAATAGTTCCAGCGAGTGACTTTTGGCTTTTTTATTGGCTTTGTTGATAATACAACAGGGAAAAATAATACTGTATACATGTATGATGCATTTAAGCGTTTGTTGGTGGAAATACTGAATGTGTATATCAAATGTGTACTCACCATAACTATTCATAAATGTAGTCCGCAGTGGCGTCGACGTCAGTATTGTGAAATGTTTTGACTCATGCATGTAAGAATTAGGAATGTCTTATTATGGCTGAGTTGACACTGTAAATTACAATCGCAATAATCAAAATACATGTTAAGTTAAATTGCCTAATTAAATTATCCCATTGTCAGCTAGTGGTAACTAAAATGATTATTTACGAGACACACTGACGTGAAGACGATCTCTTTCTTATCAGGACCATGGTGGAAACCAGCAATAAGAATTTCACAACAAGAGAAGAATATTTGAATGAATTTTTGGGCTAAAAAGTCGTACGATATATACTGAATGTTTGAGATTGAATTAACAGTTGTATTTTTTTTTAGATAAAACCAAAGTTATAACATTATGAGAATAAATTATATATGTTTTTATTTGTATATTCTCAGCATTAAAAGTAAGACGTTTTTGTGATCAAAGTCATGATGTCAAAGTCATGATGTTATGACAATAGAGTGGTTTATATTTTAGGTAAACAATTCATGTATTTATGTACATTTCTGTGTTCTTTTATGTACATTTCTGTGTTCTGCATTAACAGTGGCACCTGTCGGGCCACCCAAAGTTCACTGACGCTGGCCCAACTCGGGCCAGTACAGATTTCCTAAATAAATGTGATGAAATCATCATAGTTTTGCTTTTTAAATATTGAATATACAGTATTTTGAGTTGTACCTTTTTTTTTCTCAAGAACATGTACTTTATTCTTGTGTTATTACAACTATAGTCTTTTATGTACACAACTTTTTAATTTCGAAAATGGTCCGCATTTTTGGTGCCCCCCGATTGATTGGCTGGTGACCGGTCAGATTCACCCAGTCCCTCGCCCGAAGTCAAATAAGTGGTATTGTCATCTCTTAAATGTTTTTAAAATATATGACACTGCAAGGCATATATCAAAAATATACTTTTTACAACATTATTCTCATAATATGCCAACTTTCATCTCATAGTCTAATTACTCTCCGAATACATCTTCGTACGAGTTTTTGCTCAACAATCAAATGGACCGCGACCCCCTTCGCCGAGCATCCCGCAGCTCAATCAGCCACATATATGCATGTCTCAATTCCCCAAAGACAGCGGACAGTTGGGGTGGCCCACCCCCACGTTCACCCTCACATTTACCCCCCACCAACCCCGCTTCCCTCTGTTGCCTCCTGTTCCTGCGGTCTTCTCTGCATCCCTCCCCGATCTGTTGAGGGCAACAGCTCCAGAGGTCTACCATATGGGCCAGTGTCTGAGCCCTGTTTGTTCGTGTGTGTGTGTGTGTGTGTGTGTGTGTGTGTGTGTGTGTGTGTGTGTGTGTGTGTGTGTGTGTGTGTGTGTGTGTGTGTGTGTGCTGTGACTGTTAGCCCGCTCCACCTGTTCCACTATGACAGCAGAGTCCACGGATCTGCTGCAGGCTGGTGGCTCTAGATGACACACTGTTGAGAATAGGGCGAAAAACGTATGCAGGGGATAGTTATAAATTCATACATATGCAGTTTCAAGGTTTATTTTGAAAAGTGACATCGGAAAACTGGTACTAACTCAAAACAGTTGTAT